CATCATTAGTGCTAAGGAAAAATAATGATCCATGGAGGATTGGATATGGAAACAGAGGAAAAAATTGAGTCCACAAGAAACCCAAGGTTTTGAGCTGGGAGATTGGCAAAATTGTGGTTTCAATAGCAAAAATGAGTAAGTCAGGAAGAGAAATGGGTTCAAAGATCAGTTTTAGACAAGTTGAAAAGTATTTTTCTTTCATTGTCAATAAACAGTAAGACATGCTACTTTATACTTAAATTATTTCCATTTGTCAATTTTATATTTCTTAAAGGCTCTTAGGTTATCACCAAATAATGTAGCATCATATATTTAAAAAAGGTGATTGGATTGGGAATCAGAAACCAATTGTGTTTGTTCTGGAACTACCATTCATTCAAATGCTTACTGAACATTTCCTATATGCAATGTACTATGTTTATCTGCTGGAGTTGGAATGGTGCAGTACCTATCCCTTATAGGACTAAAAAAGAAAACTGATTAATCAGTTACTTGCAAATAAGTATGTAAATACAAGTGTACTAAGTATTTTTTAAAAGCAGGTGTCAGCTTTGTATGAATTCATAACATCTCAGGGACCTGACACATGAGGATCAGGGAAGGCATTTTTGAAGAAATAATAGTTGAGATCTGATAAAAGAAGTAGGAGCAAAACGGGGGCCAGTTTTCTAAGAAAAGAAGACAGGACCTATGAAGGGCTGGTAATAGGAGGCAGCATGTCCATTTCGAATTGGTAAAACAGAGCAGGGGTAAAATGGAGAGGGTAAAGTGAAAGAGTCTTTGAATGAGTCTGATGAGATGGGTAGAGTCCAGATTATGCAAGGTTTTGTAGTCTCCCTTCAGATACCTATCCTGAGAACGGAGAAAAGGTTTTAGAAGAGTTCAAATACAAGGTTATCTGAAGAGATGGGCATTAAAAAGAGAGAGAGAGAAAGAGAGGTGGTTGCATTATAGAGAACAGAATAGTGAAGAGCAAAATTGGTTGCAGAAACACCCAGTAGGAGGGCTGTTACAGAGCCTGGACAAGAAATGACGGGAATGATGGGTGCTTGTACCCAGAGTGGGGGCGAAAAGGAAAAGAAGTGAAAAAGAAGAGGAAGGCAAATTCAACAGAACTCAATGGATTGGATTAAGGTGCTGGGTTTAGGGAGTCAAATACGATCCTCAGGTTTCTTTCTGGCTTATGCAACTGATATATGATGTTGCTATTCACTAGAATGGGGCTCCATGGAAGAGCACGCAGGCTTGTACTGGTGGAAGGTCTCAAGTTCAGTTCAGGATATGTTGGGTTTGAGTTACATTTGAAATACCCAAATGGAGGCTCAAAAATGGGGCTTGACACATAGATGGAAAGGAAAAGTCTAGGAAGGAAGTTAACCATTTGGGAGTCATTGGACTATAGATGACAGTTTAAAAGGCTAGTGTGCACAAGACATTAGGGTTGCAGCATGAGATAAGGAGAAGGCCTCAAATTGAGTCTTTAAAAGGAGTTGAGGCATTTAATATCCAGGTAGAGAAGGATAACAGCAAATGAGAATGAGAACATGTAGAAATGCAAGAGAGTTAAGTAAAAGGAGAGTATTCTAAGACAAGAGGGTGAGAGTGATCAGCAATTTCCAGACCTTTGGGAAATGCCTATAATCCCTTTATTTATCTGTTAAACCAAGAAATAATGACTTCATATCTGAGTATTATTATAGTAACCAAATCTAATGAAGTTTGAGGAAATGTAAATCTGTAAGTTGTTCTGTTATGTAATTACTCTCAGTTCTGGGTTTTACTTTGTTTTCAAACACTGTGGGATCATTCACACCTTATCTTACTCTTTCAGGCCTCTTAGAACACGAGCCAAAAATATATGAATTTGAAAGTGAAAATGTTTTCAATTCTTTGCATAATTGCATGGAAAATAATTCTACTCAGAACCTGGAACGTCTCTTCCACTTGATTTTCTTTTTCCTTTTCCTAAGAATCTAGAAATTCTCAGAAAGTACTTTGTGTCCTGTGAGTATAGGCTTGAGCACTTCAATTCTAGAAATAAACTGAGTATGTAAACAGTTTCCTGTGATTAAATGGCTGGCTGTGGAGTGGAAGAAGCTTCTGGTATTCAAGGAACATCTTACTGGTACATTCTCCATTTATCATGGTGTAATATAAACCTCGTCACAAGCTCTCCCCACTTTGACTTTTGGAGTGGTTATTAGCGTTCAGGAAGAGGGAAGGCCAGATGAGAGTGGAGCCCCTTCCCACACAACTTGTCTGTCCAAACCCCTGGCACAGTAACTGTTCCTTAATCTCACTGTTGATTGGGAGTGGACCTAGCTAGCACCAAACCCTCACTCTGCCTTTAGGTCAGATGCTGGGCTTGTGATAACAGTTCCAACCACAAGCTGACTACTATATACAAATGATTCATTTCCAGCCTTCTGCTTTCCTTTAAAGAGTCAGCTGTCATGTGCCGCCTCTGACTCACTGAAGCTCCTTTGCCCCAGGGAAATAAGCACTCTACAGATTCCTGAGTTCCAGGCCCCTCTTAAGCCAGAAGAGTCACGTTGTTCTTATGATGATACAGCACAGAAGCATTCTGGCTGATTCCCATTTGTTGTCCTGCCGGTAAAAGCACCATCGTTTCTAAGCATGAGAAGTAAGAGAGAAGGCAATTTGTATTTCTTTGTTTACGCAAGACAAACCTTAAGCCAGCTGTGGCATGCAAAATATTGAAGCGCGAATGCGTGTACATCCAATGGTTCTAATTCCCTATTATGCTTATGAGGCAGTGCAGAGACTTTCAGAAACTTCAGGAAGTGATCTTAAACTTTTCACACTCTATAAACTGAGGCTTACCCTAATGAAGCCCCACAAAGGACATTGATCTTATGTTCATCTCTTTCTTCTTTTTTGTTAGTTTTTAAAAATTGTCCATGTTTCTAAACTATATTTTTTCCTATCAGCTACATATCAGACCAAAAAAAAAAAAAAAAAAAAAAAAAAAAAAAAAACGTTAGTTTGAAATGAGGATTTCATGTGAGAAGGAAGTTTTGGTGGCCACAATTTTACAATCTCATTTTCTGAAATCCTCCGTACCTGTGTCCTTTTTATTCCAGCATCGGGTCAGCTGTCATTAGCTTTTGCCAAATGTTCATACTGTTGAGGCCACAGATGGATGAATCACTTATTGCCTAACTGAATTCAGCTAAAATGTGTCACTGGCAGCATCATTATTACAGAATTGTGCCATGGTACCACTTCTGTCAGTATGTTTTGCTGTTGAATGTGTTATTGATAGTCATCAATCAAATGAGCAACAGCAAGAAATGTTTTAGACTTCTGTAGGAGCTATGTTACCTTATATAAATGAAAAGTAACTATATAATTGAATACAAATTCTAACCCATATAGTGATTTTTTAATATTATAGACCTTGATGTTGTTAGCAACCATTTTATGGACTAACTTCATCACATTTTATAAGATAGTTTATTACTTGTATTTGTTATGATATTGTCTCATATAGTCTCTATGAAGTAAAATTCGGTTTATAGAAAATTTATTTTTAAATAATGTCATCACCTAGGTAGCCTGAAGTTTCGAAGTGAAAGTAAGCATTTAAGCATGTGGTTAAAATCTGCTTAATGAAGATCAGATTCATTAAAAAAAATACAAACTAGTGCCTTTATTCAGTAAAGAACAAAAACCAGAAGTCAGCTTTTTCCATTATCAATAGCAGCCTCACTACCTCAGTAAGATAAGATGGGAAGTAACACGTTGTGATTTCCAGTCTATCTTCAGTGATTTTTAAGGGAATATCACAATATTCGTAAAACAAAATCCAGTAAAATTTGATTTCTAAAATATTTCATGCAGTAATTTTATAAGTAAGATAACAGTATTCTGACATTGACAAAAGGTTATTATTAGACTCAGTTGGTTAAATCCACAAACATTGAGCATCTATTCCATAAAAGACATTGAACAAAGCTTTTTAGGCTATACAAGAAATAAAATGTGCTTTGCCGTCGGGGAGCTTTTAACGAGGAAGACACATTACACAGTTCCAAAAGTTTAATAACAGTTTAAAACAAATAATAATGTGTTTTAAACTGAAGAAGGTATCAAGAGATAGCATATACATAATTGCCAAGTGAGTGATACAGATGCTGCAGGCATTCAAAAAAGAGAAAGAAAACTTGAGGCAGATGTCAGTAGAAACAAATTCACTGATTTGAATTTGTTTTGAGCCAAACCAACTATTAATAATTTTACCAATTATGAGCTAGAAATAGAAACAAATCATGATTGGTGTTGGGTTGACAGCTATACCTGGAGGCTTTCATCTGATTATCTGCCTACATCTACAGTATTGATTTATATGTCACTTCAATTTGTAGAGTTTACTAAAGACCATTTATCTAAATACGAAGGGCAATCACAGTGTCAGCATCCTCTTGTAGGGTTAGTCGAGCAGAATAGTGAGAAAATGCAAATAATTATATAAAGTTCAATATCTCAATGAAAGATATCATCTTCACTCTGAAGATAGACATATATGCTTAGAATGATACTTGTTAAGATTATTGTTTTTAATAACATTTGTTAACTATGAATCAAAATATGTTTACTAATTCAAGCAAGTTGTTTAAGGTAGTAAAAACTAATGTTTAAAAACATAGCCTTGATCCTTCAGGTGACTGTTGTTTTCAAACAAGTGGAAAATAGCAGTACTTTTCACACATAAATATATGCAGGGGTTACCTGAGAGTCATGTTAAATTCAGATTCTGGCTGGGCACAGTGATTCATACCTGTAATCCCAGCACTTTGGGAGGCAGAGGTGGGAGGATCACTTGAGCCCAGGAGGTCAAGGCTACAGGGAGTCATGATCACGCTTGCACTCCAGCCTGGGCAACAGAGTGAGACCCTATCTCAAAAAACAGAAATAAAAAGGAATATTTTATAAGACTTTTGTCTTTTATTCTCACTCAGCTATATTTTTGCCTTTAGCACGAAAGCAAGAGATTATCAAAGTCACTGAACAACTGATCGAAGCTATCAACAATGGGGACTTTGAAGCCTACACGTGAGTAGCAGATGTTTACCTTTCTCTCATGCATATGGAAATGTATTAATATGAATGCATTCTTCAACGTATATGAATTCACATATATTTAATTCAAGGTTTGATATGTCAATGATAGTTTTATTTCATAGTATAAATGACTAAGTACCCCTAGGAGATACAAATTTATTTAAAATTTCAGAAGGCAGGCACAGTGGCTCACACCTGTAATCCCAGCACTTTGGGAGGCCGAGGTGGGAGGATTGCTTGAGCCCAAGAGTTCAAGATCAACCTGGGTGACAAAACAAGACCCATTTCTACAAAACATTTAAAAATTAGTCAGGCATAGTGGTGCACACCTGTAGTCCTACATACTTGGGAAGTCAAGGCAGGAGGATCACCTAAGCCTAGGAGGTTGAGGCTGCAGTGAGACATCATCACATCACTGTATTCTAGCCGGCATGACAGAGTGAAACTGTGTCTCAGAAAAAAAAAAAAAAGAAAGAAAGAAAAAAAGATTTCACAGAGAGAAGACTTGACTTCTGATCCAACAATTGGAGATTTCTTTGTAAATATGCAGATGTATAACCACTCCCACATCACACATCACACACACATAAGTTCAGATGAGAAAAGGGCATTCTAGGCAGAGCAATTCATGTGAACAAAAACACAAAAAAATAGGAAAGGACATAAAATGTGCATTTCAGCTTTAGAAATGCCTTCCCTTGCAGTTCTGCAGAAGTTCTGGGGCAGAGAAGGAGATGAGGAGGTGACCTGAGGCAGCCTTCTCTCTTCAATCAGTACAGCTCAACTTTATCTGCATCTCTTTTATATGTTTGTATCTTAAGGAAAACGTGACTTGAAGAATGGGTTCTAATGCTTATTTAAAGTTTATAAACTCCTGGATCATAGGAACTATGAAAGAAATTACTTTGCTGAAGTAAAAATAAAGCATTCAATTTAAATAGGGCCTTTTTACACCATACAACGAATGAGTTCCACTCCAGTGAAAGGCTTAAATGCAAAACAGAGATTGAATCTGATCTCTGGCTAGACAGATCCAAAAGCTGAAGAAATAATTGTTAATGAGAATGTAATATGATTATACCTAAATAGGTAAAACATGTCTACTTTAATTAAAAATCCAAGAATAAAAGTAAGAGACAAACTTAGAAAAACATTTGCAAAACATGTATCAAAAGTTAATTTTTTATATTGCGTGAATATGATTGAAAAGTAGAAAAATAGATAAAGGACATGATTTATTATCAGAGGAGGAAATATAAATAACAAGTAAACTAATAAAGGCATGTTTATGTTTACTAATTAAGTATATGCAAACTTGAATGTAAGAGCCTCTTCTGCCTGTAAAATCTGCAGAGATACAAACTCTTTTGACAGCCGGCAAGGTACAGATACTGCAGGACAGTTTGACTTTCCTGCACCATGGATGAAACATAAATGGGTGCTAACTTTCAAGATAGTGGTGGCAACAGGGATGGAGGAATTATTAATATGTTTTATTACATAATCTGTTATATACATGAAAGCTTTTATAAAGGCTCATTTTACTGTAATACTCTAATTCTACTTATAAGAATTTAACATGAGTATAAATTTTTTATGTAAAACATGGACAAAAATTTGTGAATGAAGATATATACTGAAGCAAAATATGTAATAGTGAAAAATTAGAAACAATGTATATGCCCAACAGTATGGTTATCATTAAGTCATCTCGGTACAGTGGTTATGTTGAGTTTCTCACGATCTGGAAAAATGTGATGTTTTTACTGAATATTAAGGAAGACATAAAAGAGTATTTACACACTTATTCCAGCTACAGAAGTGAAAAATATTAAAAATGGAATGAAATATGCCAAATTAGATTTTTAAAAGAAAAAGAAAAGTTACCTCTGAGAGGTAAAATTATGTGTGAATTTATTTCCTGCTTTTTTATTATTCCCAAGTTTTACATAAGTAGGTATTACTTTTATCTTTAGTTATAAATAAATACCAAATATAAAATATGGAAGAGATTAGCTAAATGTAAGAATGAAACTAAATAAGGAGCTTCTTATAAATTAAATGTGTGTGCATATATGTATAAACAGATCCAGATGCATGTGTTTGAGTGTATCACTTTTTTATCATGACCTCAGAAGGCCTACTTGGAATAAAAGAAATAGTTTTTTAAAATGGAGTTAAAAACAGCAGTCTGTTTTCAGAGACAGTGATTTCCTATTAAGCAATTATTTATAGCTGTGCCATAGAACCTGCTTTTTAAAAATCTTTATTGCTGTTATATCCTTGTTAGATACATATGATTCTCCAAAGAATAAGAATATTCTTTTTTAAAAATATCTTTTTTGTGGAAGGATAAAAAGTTTGTATTTGTTGTTGTTAAAAAGAGAAGAAGAAGTTGCCTGTGAGAGGTAAAATTGTGTGTGTTTTTTTCTAAGTTTTTCCTACTTCTTTTCTATTCTTTCTAAATTTTATATAAACAGATACTATTTTTATATAGAGAACAATTATAGCCAGGCAAAAGTATGTATTTTCTATTTTCTCAGACAGTTTTAAATAGGGTATTTTAAATAATGCTAAACCTTGGGATCACATCAGTTAACTAATATCTTTGCCTATGGAGACCTATAATCTGGCCTGATTTCGTACTTTCTAGCTAGAGCTAATCCAACAGGACTTCCATTTGAGAGCTTTTGGGATGGTAGAATGTACTGGTGTAGTCCTGTCAGCTGGTCCTTAGAACACATGTTCAGATCACACACACCCACATGTCACATGGCAGCTTTGTGAATCTTGCATTAATCTAAAGCCTTTTATAGGGTGGATGGATGATAGATAGATAGATAATTGATAGGTAGATAGATACATAGTTAGATAGACAGATAGACAGATTTTCAAATATATTGACTCTTTTCATGGCTGGGTAAAAGGATCCATCACGGCACAGTTATTCCTAAATTATGTTAGTACTGATGTAAGCTAGTAAGAAATTTTGGTTCACTGATAATGACAACTAAAAACCATATTTATAGAGGAAGTAATAGCCTCTGGCAGAATAAATTCTTGTTACCATAGGAACACTGTTCTTCCCATTTTGCTTCTTAGAAAGAGACTATATATATTTGATTTTAAGCTTAAGAATGCCTGCCCAGCAGGCAGTCTGAAGTGAAGGTTGTAATCCTTGCCTCCGCCATCTTTAAGGTACAAAAGATATCCACTGTGATTTCTACTTTTTAAAAGTATTCTTTAAATAGCACCAGTTCCACATTCTATAAACTGTACTGTACTTTGAGGAATTACAGTAAGTTAGACTTTAGAAAGGTGTATTTCTACTGAATGAGAAATTTTGCCCCCCAAATGGGGAATTTCTCTATGAAATTATATGTGTCCCCATCCACTGTATTACCATTTGGGGCAAATTAATAAACAGTCCAAACTCCTTTGATCTGTACTCCATTTGATCTACCTTGTGAACTCCTACTCATTCTTCAAATCCAGATCTTGTCACCGTCTCTGAGAAGCCTACCCTGATCACCACAGGCCCAAAGGAAATATTTTCGTCTCTACATTTCCAGGGGCCTTACACACATAACACAGTGACCCTGCTTTCCACATCAAACAACCAGCCATCATTTTCCAAATGTACTTGCATTTTCACAGCAGCAGACCATTGCACTTGCTGCCCTCCCACTGCCCACCACCTCCCACACACCTGGAGAACTCTTACTCATTCTTCAAAACCCAGCTCACACTTTCTTCCTCTCTTAAACCTTTCCTGTTCACTGTCTATTAGTAATCTGTTTTTTGAATGCTTTGCATTTCTATCTATTCTAGTATGGATTATTATATTGTATTTCTTGTTTTGAAGAATATCTGCCACATAGTAGGTGTTCAACAATTCTTTATGGATTAAATAAATTTCTCCAAAGAAAGCTCATTAATTTTTCCTGAATATTTAAAATTGTGTACCCTTTTATTGAATCATACTCTTAGGATTAAGAAAGAAAACCAATATGTGCATTTGAACCTCCTATTGATTTTATTTTAAAAGTAAAATAAACTTAAACACAAACTGCATAAGTCTTATGGACATTGCCAGGAGGTATAGGGTGTGATACTTTATTTCAAGCCAAATGTAATATACATGTTTGACATGAATGTAGAAGATGTGGTCCATCAAAAAATTATTCCATGGCTAAGCACGGTGGCCCACCCCTATAATACCACACTTTGGGAGGTCAAGGTGGGAGAATCACTTGTGCCTAGGAGTTCGAGACCAGCCTGGACAACATAAGGAAGCGCCATCTCTACTAAAAATAAAAGTCAATTAACCTAGTGTGGTATTGCACACCAATAGTCCCAACTACTGGGGAGGCTGAGGCAGGAGGATTGTTTTGAGTATGGAAGGTTGAGGCTACAGTGAGCTATGATTGCACCACTTACAACCCAGCCTGGGCAACAGAGGAAGACCCTGTCTCAAAAAAAAAAAAAAAAAAAAAATTATTCCAGAAGTATGTAATTTCAGAACCAAAGATAGGTTTATAGGATTTGGAGAGTGTCTTAAACTTAGACTATTGGACTATAGGAGAGCATAAACTTGGACCTGGAGAACATTTTTAAAAAATAATAAACCTTAATCAAGTGTAAAAAACTGGAAAATTCACCTTAAAAATAGAAAAAAAAAAAGCAGAAATTGTAAAAAGGGGCCTGCTAAAATATTGTATATTATCATCTGCTTGAACTGGTTAAATGAATTTGTTCCTATCAGAGTTCTCTGCAAAATGTCTTTTTAGAGTCTGCTCCTCAACACATCTTGCTAAGGTTTGTCATAAAACTTTGTATTTAAGTGTTTTTAGGGGCTGTTTCCTTCAGTGACTGATGAATAAGAATGTTTACATATGAAACAACAAAACACATTAAAGCACCTATTAACTGGTTGTTTTCATTATTTTTCTTTTACAGAAAAATCTGTGACCCAGGCCTTACTGCTTTTGAACCTGAAGCTTTGGGTAATTTAGTGGAAGGGATGGATTTTCACCGATTCTACTTTGAAAATGGTACATTTATTCCTAATTTAATATCATGCCCTTTTTAACCACTCTGAGTTTTTCCCAAATCTGCAGATTCTCTGGCTCTTTTCTGCAGTGAGAGTTTTTACCTTCATCCAGCATTTAAAACCATACAATGTTTTTTTGTATTGAAAATTGAAAAAAAAAAAAAAATGTCAGGCTTGACTTACAGTTTTGGTGTGTTTTGAAAAATAATGCTTTGTATAAAAATTAATGCTTGCCACGCACAGTGGCTCATGCCTGCAATGCCAGCACTTTGGGATCCCAAGGCAGGTGAATCAGTTGAGGCCAGGAGTTCGAGACCAGCCTCATGAACATGCTGAAACCCCATCTCTACTAAAAATACAGAATTAGCCAGGCATGGTGGCGCACACCTGTAATCTCAGCTACTTGGGAGACCCATGCATGAGAATTGCTTGAACCTGTGAGGTGGAAGTTGCAACGAGCCTAGATCATGAGACAGCAACAAGAGTGAAACTTTGTCTCAAAAAAGAAAAATAATAAGGAATGTTGATTGAATATACTTCATGCAAGTCACAGTTAATATAAGCTATAAATCAATTACCAAAAAAATGTTATTTCAACTTTTCATAAAACTATATATTAAAAAATAGACAGGCACAGTGGTTCATGCCTGTAATCCCAATACTTTAGGAGGCTGAGGTGGGAGGATAGCTTAAGGACCAGAAATCCAAGACCAGTATGAGCAGCATAAGGAGAGCCCATCTCTACACAGAAGCCAGGCATGATGACAAGCACCTTTAGTCCTAGCTACTTGTGAAGCTGAGATGGGAGGATCACTTTGAGCCCAGGATGTTGAGGCTTCAATGAGCTATGATCATGCTACTGTAATCCAGCCTGGGTGACAGAATGAGACCCTGCCTCAAATTATAAAAATAAGGAAAAGAAAAAATAGGAGGAAAACATTTTTTAAAACCACAGCATGCCAAAATATTCAACATAGAAGAGTGCTTTCAAGCATATGTGATGCTTATTTTCAAAGTAAAATGAAAATGAACACGAATAGTGAGATAAATTTTTCAATTCAAATTTTAAGACTTCTTGTAGTTTCAGAAGAAAGAGGCATTTCCAAAGAAGGTGACAAATGGAGTTCATCCTGCAGAAATCCTTGGTCAGGTCATCAAGAAAAATGTAAACCAGGAATTCCCTTTATCCTTCTCTTTTTCCTTATACCTAATGACATTAGACATTACACTGTGTTTGCATATTGCATAAAGTGAATTTATTCCTTTTGTAGAGATCTTTTTGAATTAAAGATGAGATGTATTATAGTAATGACAAGGATAATCACATCTCTTTCAGTAATTATAAGCTTTGATAAGAATGTCTGCTGTGGCATGGATTTTCAAGTTAAGATGTGTTGAATGAGTTACTTTTTCTTATATGCATTAGGCATTTACAAACAAAAAGAACTATTTGATAAATTCTCTTAACAAAGTTTCAGTAAATGTCACATTCCCTATATTCCAGCACTATGATAGCATCTCATGTTTCCTCCAACAGACTCTCTATCGACACCATCTGATTCCTAATGAAAGAATTAACCCATTAATATTTTAACCTTTTTCAGCTTGACACTAATATATACATACATACATCATGTTCCATAAATATATATTCTCCATAATGGGGTATTTAGGTGACTCTAATAGCATTTCATATAATCTGAATAGATATTTTCTGAGAATGGAAAGCATGTTTGGATAACAACTAAAAACAATTCAACCTTTTCTAGTGATCTAAGAAAGGAACAGCATCAATAAGTAATGTGTACTAAATCATCCTCATATCTCTTGGTGATTGAATCCTTAGAATTAGTAGCTACTGTCGAAACACCAGAGGCTGGAGACTAGTGAGGGCTACTGAGTCAAAGGAAAGAGCTAGAAGATCAGAATCAGGCTATATGCCAACACAATTTGAATGTTTATCAAATGATCACAAGTGGACTATTATGGAATGAACTCTTAGTATGTGGAGGAGTCAGAGGATGAGATGAGAAACAAGTTCATAGGCTTTATCAAAGGCTAGCACCAGCCTTATTTTGGAGACAGTGATGTCCATACCTGAAACTTGATGTATTTCCCTTGTCCCACATACTTTGCCAGCTAACAAAAACAAACACCACTACAAAATCCCTAGTCAACTGTCCCAGCAGTTCATTTCCGGGAAAGGCAAGAACTGCTTGGCACACCTGGGCCAGGCCTTCTTCACCTCTATTCATATTGTGATTTATGTTTCTAACTACTTTCCATTATAAATTAATATATCTCTACAGGTTTTTCACCCAATCAGAATTTCCAGAGGAGTATATAAATTGCCTGCAAAGGAAATCAGATAAAATAAAGACCGTGTCCACTTCTGATCTTTTGTTGTTTTATACAGTGCCCAGCACCCGATTAGTGCAAATAGTAGATTAATTACCTAATTTGTGAGTGAATAAATGGCATTTCATTTATTGGTCCTACCTGAAGTTATGACTGGTTTTAGTTTCCTTTACATAGGAACTAAATTTTGCTTTTCATGTTTTTCTCTTTCAGCTTTGTCCAAAAGCAATAAACCAATCCACACTATTATTCTAAACCCTCATGTACATCTGGTAGGGGATGATGCTGCCTGCATAGCATATATTAGGCTCACACAGTACATGGATGGCAGTGGAATGCCAAAGACAATGCAGTCAGAAGAGACTCGTGTGTGGCACCGCCGGGATGGAAAGTGGCAGAACGTTCATTTTCATCGCTCGGGGTCACCAACAGTACCCATCAAGTAAATATTTCCAGCTTCTTTGTTAATACACTCATGGTCAGCTCCTTCTACTATGTTGATAGCACGGCATATGTTATTTAATGCTAGTGGTTGGTTACATTGATGGAAATAAATGCCTTCATGGGAAAAGTTTAAGAATCTCTGGAAAGATCAATCAGATCAGCCATTTGTGGGTTGAAACTTGCTATAGACCAGTATATGATAGGTTTAGCTAGGACTAGAGACTACCTTATCAAAATCTCACAGGGGTAATTCCAGGGGATCCATATCATAAGGCAATATATTTGTGACTTCATTTACTCAATTGACAGAGGAAGGGGATATCAGAGGAAAGCATAGAAAGGACTTTCTAAAATGGCCAATATATTATCAGGAGTTTCATTTCATAGATGATCCCCTGGGGCTCAATTACAGATATTAGGAAAAATTTACAGTCAGCATTTAAAAGGCAATTGTTAGGTACTGCAATGTCTTTCTCACCTCACCATTCTACCTCAGATATCTTGTTCGCTTTTCCAGTCAGCGATTAGGTACATATTTATCGTGAATCTCCAAGGTGCTTAATATGTGCCAGATTCAACACAAAGTAAAAGATATTGCTCTCAAAAAACATGTATTCTTGTTTAGCTAATCATTGATTCCAAAGAAAAAAATTGATATAATAAAGTTTATAATCAACTTCAGAATACAGTAAAATTATCTTTTGGAAGTAAAATTAAAGTTTGGAAGTACACTTTGTGTATAGATAGAATTTTGGGCAAAGTCTTAAATGATGAGTAGAATTTAGAGATATAGAAGAAACAAAGGAGGATAGTCCAAGCTAAACGAGCATCAGAAATAAAAGTACACTATCAGGATTTAGTTTAATATGATAGAACATTATTGGTAAGGCAGTCTGGTTACAACTAGACTAAAGAGGAATAATTAAAAATAGGTTTATTGGTAAAGTGGAGTGAGATGAAAACAGTAAGAGTTTAAACTCAGTGTAGAAGTTTGGTCCACTGTTGATCTCTTTCCATATACTCTCACCAGGATTACCTGTTAATATTTGGAATGTGGAATGGGGGTTCATACAAACAGGCATTCAACTCACTCCATAGAATCCATCACGATTTCTTAGTTTGATAACATCCCACAGTGGTTTTCAGAGACCTCTGTGTAGCCCTAATAATTATATATCACTGTTGGATTTGTAAAAAGTGAGTCAACAGGGACAAAAAACAAACCAAGCGATAGGCTGGAATTTATTCCAAAAACAATAGCTATGTAATTAAGAGAAAAACACAAAAGGAATATGAATATAATGAAGACAACTTTTGTGTGTGTGTGTGTGTGTGTTTTTTTTTTTTTACCCCAAACGGCTACAGCACAAATTGATTGACAATTAATATAGAAAGGATTACATTCATACAGTACCCGGGGTTTAGGTTTTTTTGCAATTCCCTGAAGTGTTTATGGGATAGAGCCTATTCAAGATGACTTCATTTTATGCCAGGTGGCTTAAATGGGGCTTCTCTTAATAGGCCACCCTGTATTCCAAATGGGAAAGAAAACTTCTCAGGAGGCACCTCTTTGTGGCAAAACATCTAAGGCCTGAAAACCATTCACATATGGGTCTTGTAAGTAGCATCCTGCTCCGTGATACTTTGTGATTGGAGCTGAATGAAAAGCTGCATGGCTGTTTTTCTTCCTTTGAAGATATTTTCTCTTGCATAATATTGAATGAAAAACATACAAGATCTTTGACAATTCATATCAATTTTGCATGTGCTCTTGAGTCTAACCTTCGGCCCCATTTGGTAGCATAATCCTAATAAGAATTTTTTCCAACATGTGGATTGTGTCACATTAGAATCCCGAAGTTTTCACATCAAAAGTAAATTATATCTGAGTCAATTCAGATAACTCTCAATTATCCAGACTTAATTTACACTAAACTTTAGGATCCTTTAGTGTGTTAACCATTCTTTCAGAAGGTTGCATTTCCTGTAAGCAGCTGGCTGTGGCAAATGTGTAAGTCAATTTGCTGTGTCTGAGTATAACGGTACTTGACCATAAAGACAGGCCACACAAGGAAGTCAAGCTGAAATTTAGAACTCACAAAGTGGGTAATTCCAGAGGATAATTGAAAGTTGACTGTAATTAACTTCAAGTTTTTGTTGTTGTTTTTAACTATTTGTTTCTTAGATTTGGGTTATAAGTATTCAGATAAGTATGGTGCTGTTGTGAATATTTGCCTCATTCAAAGAACTAAACATTTTCAGAGCTTTTAACAAATAGTGCTCTGATGCTTTCAGCAAAGAAGAGCTCCAATTAAAGAGAGTAATCATGTTCTCTACTTTTGAGACTATATTCCCTGTCAAACTGACTTCTAAGTTCAATTTCCCAAGGAACCTAATACTAATAACAAAAGCTAAGGAGGAGTCTATTTCAACAAAAGGATTATATTCATTTACTAATTTGTCGAGTAAACAGGAATGCTTAAGATGTATACTTAGATTTAATAATGTGATTGAAGCCTGTGTCCCTGTCTCTTTATTTTTAGCTTAGCTTTGTGTGAAAAAATAATTAATACTGATTTTCTATTTTAATATTGTCTTTGTGTAACATTGTATTTTTCTTGTAATGATCACAAGCAAACATCTCTTACACATAGTATTTTCTTTTTTTTTTTTTTTTTTGAGATGGAGTTTCGCTCTTGTTACCCAGGCTGGAGTGCAATGGCACGATCTCGGCTCACCGCAACCTCCGCCTCCTGGGTTCAAGCAATTCTCCTGCCTCAGCCTCCTGACATAGTGTTTTCAATCTATTCATTAACCAAGTTATAGAACTGTAGCCTAGTCAAATCTATGGCAAAACAATTTGATGATACTTTGGTAAAACAATGTAATTTATTTCTTCCTCCCCCTTTCTCCTTCCAGCTAAATATCAACAGTGCCACTTCTGCATTCTCTGTTCTCAAGGCACCTGGATGGTGACCCTGGGCCGTCCTCTCCTCCTCTTCATGCATGTTTCTGAGTGCATGAAGTTGTGAAGGTCCTACATGTAATGCATATGTGATGCATCATCTTATCATATATTCCTTCCTATACATTGTTTACACTTCAACTACGGGGATGTTCCATGCAAACTTAAATTACTGTTGGCAAAACAATAGGGGGAGATTAGACCAAAAAAAAAAAAATTCACGAAATTCCAAGTACAACTCTTCATCAAGTTTCTCTGTTAATGCCAAGATTTAACAGACTTAAGAACTATTGTTCTCTGAATGACAGTTTGTAAGAGAAATGTAAATTTTTTAGAACTCTTTGCTGTTAATCTGTTTTGGCTTGTTTTTGTTTTTAAAAAATGGTAAAAAAAATTATATATATATATTATATATATAATATAATATATATATATATATACCTTCAGTTTTCTGGTGTGATCCTGGTTAAAATGAATGATTTTTCATTGAAAGTTTTGCTGTTTAACAATTAAAGTGGGTTGGTATGTGGGCAAAAATAGCTTATGAAAGTAGAAGCAGTTGGTTTGCTACCACATAAGGCCATGCTGTTTTTGGTCAAACTGTGTAAACTGGAAAAATGCACATCATTTCTGAGTTTAATCACTTTAGGATATATTCACATTGTTTTCGTGAATTTGCTGAATTGAATTTTTTTTTCCTTAAATCTGCAGTCTCTTCTTTATCCTGTTTCTTTGTTCCTTTTATTTGCTTCCTTTTTTATTTTTCTTTTGTTCCACTCTTTTCTTACTTTTTTTCCTTTTCCTTTTTTGAGGAGGCAGGCTAGTAGTGTGTGAGAAAAGAATGAAAGGGAAATTTACATAATGAAGGTAAAAGGGAAATAAAGGTCTTTTGAAGGTAGCTAAACTAGCACTTTTGATCATCTTCAGGACCCACAAAAAATGTCAAGATTTTAAAGGTATATAATTCTGCTTAAGCTCTTGTTTGGACTTAAGTATCCTAAATATGTTGGAGGTGTTAGAATTGTTTAAACTTAAGATAAAATAAAGTTCCTACTGTGACTGCAATGTCTTACTGATTGGGACAGTTGCCAGGAGGATGCCAAGTTGATAGCAGAGTGTGTTTTATGTAAACACACTCACCTCCATCTTGAGGAATGAGAGGGTCACTTCTGCATCATCACTAGCTAGTTTTCTAGAGTTAGAGAGGCTTACAAATGTTTGCCATTCTCATAAGTGTTTTGAACTTGTTCTTTGTGACTTGTGCTTTTTTAGCTTCTCTCTTGAGTCAGAGTATCATTATCTTCCGTCAAGGAGTTAGGATTTTCCAGTTTAAAGCAAAAAGGGAAATGTCCTAGGTTTTCTTTATGCTTCTCATTTTTCCTTTGTTGATTCAATTCCTGTGATTTTTTTTTCTCTTTCTGGAAATGCTTTACAGTGCATGGAATCTACATCATTGTTATTTTAACGATAGTAATTCACAGTCCTCAGATGCCTATTTTTAAAGCAGAAGCAAAAGAAAAACCAAACAACAAAAACGACCCTTCCTCCTTTCTCTCATCTCACCTTTCTGTGTTGATTACTAAGCATCTTAGATATTATTGCTAGTGGATGTATGGGTAGATGGGTTGAAGCTTTTCTGGTAATTATTACACAATTTAAAACAATATATATTTAAAATAAATATATACAGTAAATATATTGAGCCATGTTAACCTGCCAATGAGATCTGTGAAAAAATAATGGCCTCATTTTTCCCTTTTTAGTTACTTTTACCTTTTTGTGAAGCAGCTATACGTGGCATACATGTATTTAAAGGAAAAAATAGGTGTAGAGTGTGTTTTTTTTTTACACTTTTAACTTAGCATGTGGTGTTGAAGTATTACTGTAGATCAAGTTTGTCTTCCACACTAAGATGTGAGGAAATTGTGATTTGTTCTCTCCGCCACAATTGAATTACACATTTATTATCGTCTATCATTTTGAAACACTGCAGTTTACCATGGGACACTGTATATATTTCTTGCCATAATGGTAAATGGCTGATTGATATATTTAAGAGTTAATAAATTTGTGATTTCTGCTGACAGTGCGTCCATCTTTATTTCTTCAGAAGAGGTACTGTATTTATGCATGCATGGTGCTGGCCACTGTCAAGGGCAGTGTGTCCTACTCTGGTCTTATTTAGTACATAACAATTTGCACTTGGTGAGAATGGCAAGTTAATTGTTCTCTATGAGCAAAACAATGGTGTCTTCTGGGAAAATGTTGCTGAGAACAAGGTAGTTAACAACTAAGACTCCTAAAACCTTGTCTACACTGTACCCTCCAATCCAGCCTTCATGTGGCTGCTATTTTTTAACACAAACCTGACCTTGTAACACTTGGGTGTTATCATCCCTGGTGTATAGGCAAGCACTCCAGCTCCTGCTACTTCCCAGCTTGAACTTGAGTGTGCATTGATGCTCAGCTTCTTTTGATTTGCTAAAAGCATCACACTTTCTCACTTGCCTGTTTATGCTCTTCATGTTGTTTATGTTTCTTACCTAGAATAAATTAGTCTTCCCCTACTTCTTTTCCCTGCCTCTGACTCTTTCCTAGGATTCAGTGTAGAGCATCACGCTCTGCAGCAAACCTTCCTAGGCCCTCTTCTGGGCTTCCCTCTCGATACTTGTGTAGTAGATTGTATTTACCTCTCCAGCCAACCACATTGTTTTAAAACTATATTTCTATTTGTGTCTCCGCTACTGCAGTATAATGTCTCTATTGGCAAGAATTGTATATTCATCAATGCATTCCTAAACCCAAACCAGGGCCAGGTATGGAGATAGCGTTGATAAATAGTTGTTGAATTGAGGCCAACCCCTGTTGATAACAGAAGCCTCAAGATGTACTCGGATAGTCCTGGATTTAATTATGGGTTCTCTCACCATTGTCTTGATGCTCTGAGTAAGGTATCTCTACCCTCTGAACCTCAGTTTCCACATTTGTAAAATGAGAATAAACATACCAATTTAATAAAGATATTGTGATGATTAATGGGTACAGAATAACTAGAACGATACTTGACAGATATTAAATGGTAGCAGTATGACTATTCTCATCATTGATATTAATATTTCTATTGTTATTACTCTTCTTTATTCGGGAAGGTATATAACTCTTGTTTTGCTTTTGGACTGCCCTCCTTATTGTAGGTTTGCTGTTACTGCTGAGGATATATTTGGATTCAAATGTCTCAGTGGGAGGCTGAGAAACACCAAATGGAGTGGTCATCTAGCTGAAAGTAGGAAAAATGAAATGTAGTAGTAAATCAGTATATTCTAAGGAAATTTTCAAGGAATATTAATCTTGGGCAGCTCAAATTTCTAATCTTTATTTAAAAAGAATTATAATTAAGGGTAAATGTAGATGACACAGCTTTGCAGTAATTTCATTGAATAAAATTCTGACTTCTATGAACCTTTCACGGCTGTGTGGTTTCTTTATCAGATTTTTTAAAGGTGGGAATGTACAAAAAGATTACGTGAAGATCAGCATACTAGACCATGCGTCCATGAGCTGAACAACAGCTGTCATAAACCAGCCTGGCCTGAGAAAGCAGCAGGAAGCATTGACAGCATTCCTGCTTTTCTCTCAGACAAAACCCATTCTCGGAAGAGAGCTGGAATGTTCTCCTACAGACTGGAGTAGGAAAAGCTGATAACAGATTAAGCAGTAATTGTACTCCAGAAAGCTTTACAACAGGAAAAAGAATTATTGTCAGTAAAAAGTGTTTTTATGTTTTTTTTTTTTTTTTAATGTCACCAACATTTAAGAATTGGATATGTCATGTAAAAGTCATGATTTCTGGCTTAATTAATTTGAAAAAGTGTAAGTTCTGCCCCACTGTTTCTGTGTTCACTACAGCAACACCTCTTCTTTCAGAGGGGAGCAGGCATGCCCCCCCCCCCCGCCACCAGACACTGTGCTTCATGCCTACCCCATGAGTTTGCTGCTGGCTCCTGTGGACACTGAACACTTTGACCCCTTTCTTTTTTCCTCTTTTCCTTTGATTGATTGATTGATTGATTGATTGATTTGAGACAGTCTCACTCTGTTACCCAGCCTGGAGTGCAGTGACATGATCTCGGCTCACTGCAACCTCCTCCTCCCGGGTTCAAGCCTCAAGCCTCAGCCTCCTGAGTAACTGAGATTACAGGTGTGCTCCACCACACCCAGCTAATTTTTGTATTTTTATTAGTGATAGGGTTTTACCATGTTGGCCAGGCTGGTCTCGAACTCCTGAGCTCAAGTGATCCGTCTGCTTGGTCTCCCAAAGTGCTGGGATCACAGGGATAAGCCACCATGCTCGGCCAGCTTTGACCCCTTTCTTAAAGCCAAAGAGTACTTATGTTGGCACCTCAGGCCCCAGAAAACAGGCATGGGCATTAGTTGTAGAGGGATTGTTCTCAGCTTCCCTAAAACCATATTACTTATGGAAGAAAACATGTCTTGCTGCTAGGCCTCTGCTACTAAAAAGCTTGGCATTATTTTTACTTCATTTTAAGAAGAAAACTGAGGTCCTCAAAAATAAACACAAAGCACAAAGTTTTTCTATGGTACTATTTAATTTATTAAAGGAAGATCTGCAGGTATTTTACAGTAAAATAAGTTTATTTTGTCCTAGCCTCAAAGTCTTGAATGGCCAAGAACTGTTGGGTAGTTTTTATTGCCAAGTGTATAAGCAGGACCAGGACAAATTGTGAAATACTTACACAAATTCTAGTGACTCTCTATCGATAACCAGACATTTAGAAACTGCTTTGGGATGTAATGATTTGTGCTGTGGCCTGACTCAATTGCTAGTCTGGGCTTAACCTAAGTTAGCTCTTTACAAGGCTAGTAGAACCTAACTCACTTGCTCCTTGCAATTTCTCACACTCTTGGAAACCCACCACCATGGATACATACTCTTATCTGCTTCGGCCATGCTTATAATCCTATGGCTGAATGTAGCTGGAAGCACGTGTCCCTATGCTGCCAGTTCTTGTAATATATTCATGGCCATTCACCTCCCTCAAATAAACCCCAGAGGCTGCCCAAAAATCATATGTCCCTAATCCATTCTCTTCCATTCTTCTGTCAACTATTTCAGACTTCATTGACTTTTCCCACCTCCAACATTTCTCCCCCTATCCTCACTCAGGTGAGGACCTCGCTTCCTATTTCACTGCAAGAAATGAAGTAATCTCTGCATCTCTGTGTATGCATCCTGCAATCTCTTTTATTACTGTTTGTAAATGGGTCATGTACCTGACAAGCCACCACCTCTGTGCACCAGATCCCATTCCCCTCATACCTGCTCATAGGTATTGCTCTAGCAACTCTCCCCAGCTCGCCTTGTCA